ACGCAACGGTTGAAATAAGAATCATTTCATTAACCATTGAGTTACATCCCAGTGTTCTTGGATGGACGTCTGTTCTACACAAAACGAAGCTTCTGCCACCCTGCCGTCCTCTTCCACAACTTTGTCTGAGATTTCCTGCTCTAGATAAAAAATGTATGATGAAGGAGACTCATCCACGACCTCCAACAAAAACTCTAATCCTCTTGCATGTTTCCATTGTCCGTAGCGTTCTTTGACAGTGTCGTTGCTAAGTGTAACTTGGTCCCAATGTACTGTAATTTCCCATCGGGAACCTAGCACTAAGTTGTAAACTGGTTAGCAAAATGCTTCCGAGACACGGCCACAATCAAACTTGCTTGAGAACCTTCTGCCACAACAATCCCGCCCCCTTGACCAATCACATTCACTTTATTCACACTTGTAAAGTCGGGCACCATTCAGGAGAATTCGGAACTGAAACCTTTGGAACAGCCACTTCTCTACAACTTTAAACAGGCTTAAAGTTTTTATATCCAATGAAAGGCGGTTCCAAAAATTTTGGACTCAAAAGCCCCCAAAAAACACATTTTTTAGATTTTTATAAAACAAAAACAATATAAAATCTTCTATTCTTCTATTCAATTTTGTGTTTTTTCTTTTATATTAAAACTCAAAACAATACATTGATGTTTTGCATTGTAACAAGCCACAAGGTTAAAAAGTTCAAGTGGTGCGAATACTTTAAACAGCACTATAGCTCCTATGACTGTAAGATTATTTAACTTTTCTTTTATCTTATGATAAAGGCCACCGAGGACTACAGAAGAAGCCACTTTTTTATCTGCCTAGGGTTACACTGGTGCTCTTTAACATTTTCAACCTGACTTTTCAGTTTTGAGTAGAAGGACACAGGACCTCATCTGCACCTTTGCCAGGTCGCTGCTATTTGAAAATGTGACCAGAGGTCCACAGATAATCCCTTTACCCAATCTTGCCTTCAGGGCACTGTACATCATTCGCAATCATGTTTAACCACTAAACTCGTCAGCCTAAAGCGCTGGAAATTCACTGATGAGGTTGTTGCTGAGGTAAGGTACTGGCAGAGCACCTGCTAAGAGAAAAAACACCATGTGTTCTCTGTGATTGTTTGGCAAAGGTGTGTGTGTGGGGTTTTTTTTTTTCTAACTGCAGTAAAATCTAATTTGTCAGGAGCTGTGGAGATTGGATTGAGTTGATAAAGTGACTTAATTTACAAGAGTTGACTTTTTTCTATCTAACCTTTAAATAAAATCAGGTGGACAAAGCTTTGATTTTTGTTTAAAGGCAATACACTTTAATCAGTCATTCTTAAGGGAACTTATTTTGTGACTTAGAATGAACATAGAGGTACATTAAAACTATGTACATTGCTTTCATTCAAATAAATTGTTATATATTAAACCATAAATACACTGCTAAAAAAAATAAAGTGAACATGCAAATAACATCTCCAAGATCTGAATGAATGAAATACTCTCAGTGAGTACTTTGTTGTGTACAAAGTTAAATGTGCTGACAACAACAATCAAACTAAAACCATAAATGGAAATAAAATTTATTAACCAATGGAGGCCTGGATTTGGAGCCACACACAAAAATATAAGGGAAAAACACACTAAAGGCTGACCCAACTTTGATGTAATGTCCACAAAACGTGTCAAAATGAGGCTCTGTGTTGTCTGTGGCCTCGACGTGCTTATTTGACATCCCTGTTATGACTGGGCATGTACTTGATGGGGTGACAGATGGTCTCCTGGGGGATCTCCTCCCAGACCTGGAATAAAGCATCCACCAAATCCTTGACAGTATGTGGTGCAACGTGATGTTGGAGGATGAATCAAGACATGATGTCCCAGATTTGCTCATTCGGATTCAGGTCTGGGGAATGGCCAGGCCAGTCCATAGCTTCAATTGCCCCATTTACACAAGCCCTCTGAAACCAATCCATGCAGATTTCGGAAAGAGTTTGGATCAGTTAATAAGCTGAAAAGAAGTTTGTGTTGTGAACAGGTGAAGAGATCTGTGAATTGCAAAGCCGGACATACTGGAAAACCAGCCAAATGAGTCAGCTGACTGTAAATTGGAGATGAGGAGGTCTGCTTATGAGCTCTTCGTTATCAGTGAACCAAGCCAAAGATAAACCATGCCGAGCCCAACTGCTGAACTAGTACTAGATTTAGCATGGTTTGGCTGTGTCTATCTCGGTTACCGAGCTTAGACCATTGTCTGCACAGTTTCAAAAGGCTAGTGTAAATGAGGAAAATGCCTTCATCTAGCAGGAATTGGTTACACACTCCAGCCACATGAGGTCTAGCATTGTCCTTCATTGGGAAGAACCCAGGACCAAATGCATCAGCATGTGGTCTTACAAGGGGTCTGAGGTTCTTATCTCAGTACTTAATGGCAATCAGTCTATCTAGGGTGAGCACATAGAGGGCTGTGCGGCCCTCCGAAGAAATGCCAAAACACAATATTACTAACCCAATGCCAAATCGCTCATACTGAAAGATGTTGCAGGCAGCAAGTTGCTCTCCACGGTGTCTCCAGAATGTCTCAGTGCGCACATGTACTCAGTGTGAACATACTTTCATCTGTGAAGAACACATGGCGCCAGTGACAAATTTGTCAATCCTTGTGTTCTCTAACAACTACCAAGTGTCCTGTGATTTACTGTTACGCTGACACGGTCATCATGGTGGGGGATTTTAACATCAATACTGACATTAAAGGTGATAGCTTAAATGCACCCTTTAATGTTATCTTAGACTAATTTGGCTTTGTTCAAAATGTGAATAGTCCCACACATTCTCATCTTCATACTTTGGGCCTTGTGCAGACATACAATATGTCATGGAATGCGAAGGAATTACAGTAATTCCTTACAACCCTTTCCCCTCTGACCAATTTTTAATAACCTTCAAAATTACATTAGCAGAGTTCTCCTCCTCCAAAAGAAGCCTTCACTTAGGCAGATAATTATCAGATAATGTATTTATAAATTTTAAAGAATCTGATCCACATTCTATCTCCACTGTATCACAGAACAACAATGCAGATGGCAACTATTTAGTTTATTTCCCTTCACAAATTGTGGATTTTGTTGATGGGGTTATTAGTGTCCCATGTACTACATTAGAAATGTGGTCTCCTTGAAAGTGAAAAACTGGAAAGCTGGCTCCCTGGTTTACTATTGTAATTCTTTACTATTAGGAAGTCCACATTACACAGTTAAAAGCCTTCAGCTGATCAAAAATGCTGCAATCAGAGTTCTAATGAAATTTAAAATAAGAGATCATATTTACCTTATCCTAACTTCCCTTCATTGGCCTCCTGTTAAACCCAGAGAAGAATTCAAAATCCTCCTTCTCACATATAAAGCCTTAAATGGCCAATCTCCACCTTACATCAGAGATATGATTGTTACTTATGTTCCTAACAGAGCACTTCACTCTCAAGCTGCTGGGTTACTAGTGGTTCCTAGAGTCCACTCCACGTCTCAATATTGTCCTGGCCTGTCTCCTGGTAGCACCTCCACATTTGGACACTAAGCTGACAGACACAGCAAAACTTCTTGCCACAGCTTGCATTGATGTGCCATCCTGGATGAACTACACTACCTGAGCCACGTATGTGGGTTGTTGTGGAGTCATGCTACCATGAATATGGGAGAACCGGCAACATTCAAAAGTGACCAAAAACATCACTGCAGCCTTCTCCATCAACTCCCAATGCTACCACCTCCAGAAGTTCTCTTATGACTCTCCCATAGTTGGCCTCATCACAGGTGGGGACGATTCAGAGTAACACAGTGGACTCAGGACTTTGTGGAATGGTACCAGCAGAACCACCTCCTGATTAATGCAGAAAAAACCAAGGAGCTGGTGGTGGACTTCTGCAGAAGCAGATCCACCCCACTGAGAGCAGTAAATTTACTTTAGATAAGGGACCCTTGTAAGTACTCAGATATTCACCTGAACAATAAATTGGAAGGGACTCGCAACACAGAGGCTCCCTACAAAAACGGTCAGAGAAGACTGTTCCTGCTGAGGAGACAGATGTCTTGTGGAGTGCAGGGGGCACTCCTGAAGACCTTCTCTGACTGTGTTGTGACATCAGCCATCTTCTATGGAGCTGTCTGTTGGAGCAGTGGCTTATCTGTAGCTGACAGGAAGCGGCTGGATAAGCCCGTCAGAAAGGCTAGCTCTGTGATTGGATGCCCCCTGGACTCAGTGCACGAGGTAAAAATCAAAGGGACCCTAACTAAAATAATATCTCTCTTTGATAATGTGTAACACCCCATGCATGAAGCTGTTGCTGAACTGGAAGGCTCCTTCAGTGACAGACTGCTGCACCCTAAATGCACCAGGTACCATTATCACAGATCATTCCTCTCAGCAACAACCTCAGTAAGTTGTTACGCTCATGCTGAGTTTTGCACAGTTTCTGCCTTGGTCACTTAAATGCTGCTGTCCTTTTGCACATCTCTGGTGTTGCTGCTATTTTCCCATATCTACTATTGTACAAATGTCCACAGCTGTACATTGATTATTTACATTGATTACTGCACTTTATTTATATTTGTAAAAACAGTGTACAGCACAGTAGTTTTTTTTTTTTTTGTTAATTTTCTTTTTAACTCTGCCACTTATTTTGGTATTTTTGACACACTTTTAAGGTGCACATTTGTTTGACCACTTTTGCTGTAATGCTGCAATACCAAAATTTCCTTATTGTGTGTGTGTGTGTATGTGTGAATATGCGTGTGTATTGTGTAGATATATAACTAAAAAAACTTCCAATAAAAAAAAATCTAAATGATGCACTAGGGGTTAAATGAACTATATATAGACAAATCAAACTAAGTCTGAGTCTGATTTAGTGCACCGATTGATTTGAGTGAGATTAGCCCGTTTGACGTCAGAAACTGTAAACAAATGATGCTATAAAAAGAATAAACCTGTCTGTAAAAAATGTGAAAGACCTCCCAGCACAGCCTGACTAGGTTGCAGAGCGCCACAAAGACACTTTCCTTTCTGCTTCAGCCGACTAAAGTGATCAGACCGAGGCTCTAGGATGCCACTTTCTAGCAGCTCCACATCCTCCACCAAGAGTGTCCGCAGAGCGGCATCCGAGCTGGAGAGGTCGGATTCCATAACGGTAAGAAAAACCATCAAAACTCAAACCAAAATCAAGACTGTTGATTCAGAAACGTCCTTTCTTTTGTATGCAAGTTGCAAGTTGTCAAAATTTGGACCAAGGACTTGCATGCGCGTAAAATAATGCGTTCAACTGATTTTTACTCAGCGCCATGTATTGCTGAAGACGCGCAACGTGTTTTAGCCTATTTATACAAAAGAAAAAGAAAAAAAGGCACACAAAAAAATCGCCCCCTCCTCTCCCAAGTCATCCATCCAAAGAATGCTAAAATATACCCTTTGGTATAGCTATGTTTTAGGATCTACCTCGATTGCATTGCTGTTCCAATGCGCTTTTGGAGATGTAAAGCGCTCCCATCAAATACCCAAAGAGACATCCAAAAAGTAAGAAAAGACAAACAGCTGCCTGTCTCTGGTGTTGTGTGTCTGTGTTTCCTGCTTGGGAGATAGTCATATACTGCACAAGTGGGTTTTGCATTTTCTTTTCCTTTCTTTTATCTTTTTTTTTTTTTTGTTTTGTTCCGCTGACAGTCTCAGAGGTTCATCGGTAGACGACAGAGTTTGATCGAGGATGCGCGGAAGGAGAGAGAAGCGGCAGCGGCGGAGTCAGCGGAGGCCACTGAGCAGATCGTGTTTGAGGAGGAGGATGGAAAGGCGCTTCTGAACATGTTCTTCACTTTGAGGAACTCCAAAACGCCTGCGCTTTCCAGGACACTCAAAGTCTTCGAGGTATAATTTTTTTTTAAGAGAATTAAACATATAATGATAATTTTCTTTTTGTTATATATTATAAATTGATCTATAATTTCAATTAAACCGTATTAAAGTCACAAGAAAACAAAATCTGACAGTTAACATGTTTTTGAATATTCTATAATTTGTATTTAACTTACATATTTTGAACAATAGTTTACTTTAGCAAAACTCAACCTTGTATCTTAAATATTACATTTAAAAATCAGGCATTATATACTTTTAAACTTGACTAAATTGCAACATTTTTAATTTTGAGATAACAAAATGAAATAATCACAATTTTCCCTCTGGGCAATAAGAGAATTGCCTGAAGAAAAACAAAGAGAAAAAGGAGCAGTTTTATTGATTTATTTTTTAACGTTTGGTCTAAACTAGACCTTGTCTAATAAGAGACAGAAATGTAAGCATAGGGTATTTATACAACTAACAGTCAAGGCTCTTGAGCAACTATTCTATGTATTTTTTTTTCCTTCGATTTAACTATTTTAGGGTGACCCTAATATGAGTCTGAAACCCATCACCTGTTAACCAGAATGATGCAGGACAATATGATAATAGGAAGATGCACATATGCAAAAAAAAAAAAAAAATGTATCATAGGACCAGACAAAGAAAATGTACTTTTTAATTTTATTTTTATTTTTTTTTTTGTTGTTTTGCTAGGGAAAACTATATATTTATATTTGAAAACAAGTAAAGGTCCAAGTTTTTTTATTGCTTCTAAGCACTTATCTCATGGGAATTTTATGTTTATTCCACACTTTATAACTGTATACTTACTTTATTTTAGACATTTGAAGCAAAGATTCACCACTTGGAGACTCGACCATCCAGAAGGTTCAGGGAAAACCTTGGGGACCTGGAGTATTTTGTTCGCTGTGAGCTGCACCTCTCTGATGTCAGCACTCTGGTCAGCTCTATTAAGAGAAACGCAGAGGATGTCAAAACCACCAAAGAAGTCAAATGTAAGTATAAATATTTTACCTCAGAATTACCGTAATATTAATAAAAATCAGCAAAATCAGAATCAAATAAAAAAAATACTCTATTGCATTTCTATTTTCTTCCTATGACTCCTTTATTTAATAGTTCACTGGTTCCCAAAGAAAATTGGAGATCTGGACAGATGTCATCATTTGGTCACAAAATTTGATCCAGACCTAGACGAAGACCATCCTGTAAGTAATGCATTTGCCAGAAGCAAGGCAGAGCAGGAATACAGCTCACATGCTCTTATGCTTTTTACCATTATGTCATAACAGACTATCTGACCAGTGCTTTTTGTATATTTGATTTGTCAAGGGCTACAGAGACCCCATCTACAGGCAGAGAAGAAAACTGATTGGGGATATTGCTTTCACATATAAACAGTGAGACCCAGCAGTGTACCTTAAAACTTTGTAGACAAATGTGAAAATAAGCATAAACACTTTCGGATTTCCTAACCAGTGCTTATTTATCTGTGTCTGCAGTGGGCAACCGATTCCCAGAGTGGAGTACACAGAGGAGGAGATTGGCACATGGTAAGAGCTAGCTAAATAAAGGTGGTTGAAACAAGAAAACAGAATCAAAAATCACATTTTCTTTTATTCAGACTGCAAAAAAAAAAAAAAACAGCCTTCTTTAAATAATCAAATCATGATTTTTTTGTTTTTAAAAATCTAGCTTGTGTTTGAGATCTACAGTATGTCCTTTTGCATGATATCTAAAGGACCCAAGAGCTAAATACCACACAAACTGCTATTCTAAATATGCTTTTGGTGTCCAGGTAATGGAGAGGTGAGCCGTCCTTTACTATGGTATACAGCATAGACAGTGTAAGCACTGTAGGAAAATTTAGCTGGACCTGCAAGTGGCTGATGGTTAGTGTCTGATTCATGGTCTAGGGTCCAATGCAAAAAAGTACTATTTCTGTATTTTTTTGCAAACTCGATTTGATCATTTTTTCTATTTAGGGTAATATATTTTCAACTGCCTTGTTCTGAATGGAATACAAATTTCTTTAAGATACGCTTTTTAAAAATATTTTTTTAATCTTTCTGTTATTTATAACACATTAAATGGAGCCCTGTTGATGCCTTTTTAGATTAGGGCCACATCAGTATTAGAAAAATGGAAAAAAGCACAACAAATTAACTAAACTGATCAAACCTGGACTTTGCTTTGAATCAGTGTTTTAAGTTCATGGATCGTATGGTCTAAGGATGGTGAAAATAAGGACCTTCCTTCCTTCCTTCCTTCCTTCCTTCCTTCCTTCCTTCCTTCCTTCCTTCCTTCCTTCCTTCCTTCCTTCCTTCCTTCCTTCCTTCCTTCCTTCCTTCCTTCCTTCCTTCCTTCCTTCCTTCCTTCCTTCCTTCTGAACTTCCAAAATGACTCGAGCGTTAAAGTAGGTAAAGTAAAGGCTACTCAAGAACTAAGTAAGTAATCATAACATCTAATTTGAGATTTAATTATAATGTAATCAGACAGAAAGAAAATATGCAGTTACATGTAGGCCAAAATATAGAACTGAATAAGTAGCATAATTGTGAAGTAACACATTGAAGCAAAATACATGTTTTAGATCTAGCTGTTATTCACAATATGTTAAGAAACTAAAACTTATATTGTCTTGTATGTTTAGAATAAGATAAAGTAGTTTTTGTAACAATACTTTCTGCTTTTGTAGATGTATTTAATTAATTATATTTATTAAATTATTAATAATAATAATGATTAATTCATTAATTAATATTTATTTAATAACAGTCATGTAGAAATAAAAATAAGGTACACTTATTCCTTATGCTGTTTTTTTTTTTGGGGGGGGGGGTGCTCATGGGATCATAATTGTGCAGAGTTCTTTATGTGTCTTATTAGTTATCTTCCATTCATTACCATCCATTTTTAAAATGGGTACAATAGATTTTAATATATTCACTCAAACTTGGGTTAAAACTCTGTACTCTGTTCCTGACCTAAGGGTATAATAGCAGCTGAAAACAACAGTTAACAGATGAGGCATACCCCTGTAAAAGTTGCTAGTCTTTCACACCACATAAACACATACATAGACATTTATGTATGTGGAAATACAAAAGGACAAATAATTAAATTAACATAATTTTTTGGACCCATTGTATTAGAAAAACAACTATGAGTGATCCTCCATGAATGAAAGCATCAATATTTGTATCTAGTATACTCCATTTCTTTCCTCACTGAGAAACACACATAAGAGCTAGAATGATATTAATGATAATTAATTACATACAATCTTGCACACAAATAAAGCAAACTTTGTCTTTATTACTATAAACTGTATCTCAAATGTATGATAATACAGTGAAGCAGTCTGCTGTTAAAGTAAAATAAGAACTGCCCACTAATAGAATTTAAGAAAAAGTTAAAATTTATCTAGTAATGCATGTTAATTCTAACACGTGTTGATCCTCCTTATGTAAAGGTAATAGTTGAAAAAAATGCCATTTGTAGTTATTTCATCTTTGCAATATTTATTTTTATTGTGACATATGAGGGTCTCCTACTAAAGGTCTGAGTGACTAGTAAGATATAGGTCATATATGCAATGTTTTAATGAAGTCCTTTGTAAAAATACAATAGCTGGCCAGCAGGGGCAGTGAAGGGAGTGGGGCTAGACTGCTGTGAAGAAGCTTTTAACAATTTAATCAATATTGAGGCACATGCAAGACTGTGGTTTTCCTTAGTTTTTCACTATAGACACCACTATTGGTGAAAATGTTTAATCAGAATGCAATTTTAATAAAAGATAGTGAAGAAAATATGAGACTAAACAAGTCAGATTCCATTCTGTATCAGTTTGTTTATGTCAACCAACAAGTGACTCAGCTAGAGTCCTCACTTTTAACGCAGTGAAGGTTTAGCTTCAGGCTCATCCTGTTTTTTCTTTATTCAGGCGTCAAGTCTATTCAAACCTTAGGGATTTGTACGTCACCCACGCCTGCAAAGAACACCTTGAGGCCTTTCGTCTGCTGGAGAAGCACTGCGGCTACAGTCCAGACAACATTCCCCAGTTGGAAGACGTGTCATGCTTCCTTAAAGGTATTATCTGAATGTATTTTATGAAAGGAATGAAACTGACACACACCTGTTATGGGATTCCACATTCCTGATACTTGTTAAAATGTTTTGACCGACACAGAACGCACAGGGTTTCAGCTGCGTCCGGTGGCAGGTCTGCTCTCAGCCAGAGACTTTCTGGCAAGTCTTGCATTTCGTGTGTTCCAGTGTACCCAGTACATCCGACATGCTTCATCTCCTAATCACTCCCCAGAACCGTAAGTAGTCGTTTGTCTTTTCATGGGAAACCTGGTAAAAACAGCTAAAAACATGCACTGTATAAAAACACAAGTCACCGATACTATTAAATTAGCTTTTTTTGGTTTATTTGCTAAATATTTTTTTCTTTTTCTTGTTCAAATAGTGGTTCAAGATTCTAGCAATTTAGTGTGAGTAGGTTATATTTAAACCATTACATTTAAAAACCAATTGAAAACAATTGTCTTAAAAAAAATCACTATTCTGGCCTTTGTCAGAGTTATCCTAACCAAAGTAAAGTTTAAGAGAGAACAGTTGTTTGTCTTTTTATTCTTTTTAAAGGTTCCTTTGAGATTCTGAATTATTGTGTTATTTGCAAGTAAAACCTGTTGAGAACAGAATGTTAGATCAGCAAACAGAAAATAAAAAAGAGAAACAAATACTTTCCATTCGTCTGTTCGTCCATCCATCCATCCATCCATCCATCCATCCATACATACATACATACATACATACATACATACATACATACATACATACATACATACATACATACATACATACATACATACATACATACATACATACATACATACATACATACATACATACATACATACATACATACATACATACATACATACATACATACATACATACATACATACATACATCTATCTTCTGGACAGTTTATCACAGGGCAAAGCAAAGACCTGCAACCATTAATAGACACAGCTTAGTACAATTTACAGTAATCAGTTAACCTAACGGTCATGTTTTGGACAGTGGAAGGAAGCTGGAGTACCCTAAGAGAACACATGTACGGGGAGAACATGAAAACTCAATGCAAACAGACCGTCAGCCGGGTTTGAAACCCAGCAACGTCTTTTGCAAGGCAGTGTAACAAACTGCACAACAGTGCAGCGCCAGATATAAAAAATTTCCATAATTTTTATTTTATACTCACTTAGGTCATACCTTTAGTTATTTTTCTTTTCATATTTGTAGTTTTTATTTATCTTACATTTGTATATACATACATATGATGTTTGACTTAACACTGGAGAGTGTGTTTGTGTTGATAACAATTTTCCTTTTACCGTAGTAGTTTTGCTTTTTATCGTTATTTTTTGATGTCTCAAACTATCTGTTTGTTTGAAATTCCTCCATTCATTCACTCATAATTTAACAGAGTTCTACATAAAAAAATGTGTTAAGGAAAACATTTGTAAGCTTATATTGTCCTCTCCGATTTTCCTGCTCTTAATAAAAAATAATTTTCATTCATTCATTCATAAAATGTTTTTATATATATATATATATATATATATATATATATATATATATATATATATATATATATATATATATATATATATATATATATATATATATATATATATATATATATATATATATAAAAATCGAATGCTTTTACAGCTAAACTTCATAACGACTAAGTGTGGATTTGGTAAAAACAATCCAAGCATTGTTTCCTCATTTTTGTTCTCTTTATGTTGACTTTATTTTCAGGGACTGTGTCCATGAACTGCTTGGCCATGTCCCCATGCTGGCCGATCGCACTTTTGCCCAGTTTTCACAGGTTAGAGTCCAACGGCCTTACGCCTTTCAGATTATTATCTCCAGTGTGGAGCTTTTCCGTTTCTCTATATTTTTTATTTTATTTCTACAGAACCTTGGTCTGGCATCGCTGGGAGCGTCAGATGAAGACATAGAGAAGCTGTCTACTGTAAGATGCTCACTGTACCACAATAATTAAACAAGCAGTATTTTATTTGAAGTTATTGCAAATAAATATTACATGTGTTGATTATTTTTTGAATAATGACTCCATTGTCTGATATATCTCCAACCAGCTTTACTGGTTTACAGTTGAATATGGCCTCTGTAAACAAAATGGTGAAGTAAGGGCTTATGGAGCCGGGCTGCTTTCTTCCTATGGAGAGCTTGTGGTATGTTTCAGACTGCCGGTCTTTCTATGAACACAAGAATCACAGCCAAGTGAGTGCAACCTAACCTCTTTTTTTTCCTGTCACCTCCTGCCAGCATTCTCTCTCTGATGAACCAGAGGTGCGGGAGTTTGATCCAGAGGCTGCAGCAGTTCAGCCCTACCAAGACCAGAACTACCAGCCTGTTTACTTTATTTCAGAAAGTTTTCCAGACGCCAAGGAGAAATTCAGGTACTTTGTTCTTTATTGAATTATACAGATAAATCACATGAGAAGAGTAGAAAAAGAGCAAGGGGTTGTGTAAGGACAAGGTCAAAGAACACTTTGCCAACCCCCAAGGCAAAAAACTTTTGAGGGTCAGCCATAGAAGCCAGAAGACAGCTGTTACTAATATAGCCGAAGCAAAGCAAAACTTTGCTGTTTTATTTGGCAAACAGATTATGTTTCTCTGCAAAACAAATACCTTCAGTAAAAGCCCTCAGTCTTCAATGGGATAATGAGGACTAAAACAACAACTGGGTGATGAACTATAAGGTTAATTACATTAGTGATGTTTTAAGAAACATAGCATAAAGGAGTAAGATATAGGAATATGGTTTTCTAGCATTATATGGCATTATACAGAGGTTAAATTCTTGAAAACAGTTATTTTGTGCAAAGCAATCTTATTTGAGTCTCTCAAATTTTCAACAGGACATACGTAGCAGGTATCAAGCGTCCCTTCTCAGTCAGGTACGATCCGTATACATGCAGCGTTGAAGTCCTGGACAACCCACTGAAGATACAAGGAGGTCTGGAGGGAGTAAAAGATGAGATCAAGGTGTTAACAGACGCCCTCGCTGTTTTGTCATGACGATAGTTTGCCCTCTATACTGAGCTCTGCAGAGTCATAAGTGTGAAGAGACCATCACATGTATCTTAAGTGTAATTTAGTAAGATGCTGGGTTATTGCAGTGTGTGTTTATGAAAACTTTCCAACTATGTTGAAAGATTTGCCCAGTGTGAATGTATTTGTGACAATATGTACTGTGGTTCTACTTTGCTAAAAAAAATGTATGCTTTAATTAGGAAAAGTGTCCAAATGTGCTAATATTGGAGCCACCGTCAAAGAAAATTGTGTTTATGAATGTATACAGATTAAAGAAAATAATACTTTAAAATCAAACGCGTGTAATTGTTTAGTCGAGATTGCATATTTTTTCGTGATTTATTTTGCCAAAAAATATATATATTTAAATATAATGAAAGTTCTTATTAAATAATTGATTTTATGTAACTGAATAGGTGTTTGTACATTAATGAATGTGTTATATTGTCTGTCTTTTCTTTAACTCTTCGGTTTTACATTCGATATGCATGATAAAAAAATACTAATAATTATCTTGTAAATAAACATGGTTAACTAACTGTTGTTAGTTCCCTTGTGATTTTCCTTTTGCAAATACTTAAAAAAAAGGTTTAAACAAATCAAATAAGCAAAACAAAAATTTTTTACACCACAAGAGGGAGCACTTCTACAGGTTGAATATCCTTGACGATCAAGTTTTACTATTCAAAGAAGATTAACAAATGGGAGAAAATAGATGACCAAAAAACACAATATTCAGAATTGAAAAAAAGTTTTTTGCTTTTGTTTTTGACCCAGTAATCTACAGAATTTGTAAATTCAACGAATAAATAATGCGCACACTTTATTCAGTATAGACATATTAAAGTAATAGAGATTAGGGTGATGGCTAAAGGTCTATTTCAAACTTTTTAAATGTATTTAACAAAATTAGTCATATTTTTACTAAACAACATAAAGCCAGAGATTTTAACTCGGAAATTCCTGGAAAACAGAAACTTTTAAAAGTCTTTAAAATGTCATAAATTATTATAGGCCACTGAAGCGTAATACTCTTATCAAAATAAATTAGTCTATGATTTAAGAAAAAAAAAATTAAAATAGATCAATTGATATTCAAAAAATGTGAGTAACAAAAGGTTAATCCTAAATAAGCTGGCGTTTAACAGACTTTCATATGCAAGGAATTTAATAGAATTAGAGTGCAGGGAAAATTTATGGTCACATGGTGAATTTTCTTTTGTTTCATTTCCTGTAAGCTGATCAAAACGAACAGAAATTGATATTTAGAATCTATTCTTTGTGTAATTAATCTATATGAGTTTTTTCTTTTCAATTTAAGTTAATCTTTGTAACGGAATGTATTTGATATACAACTTTAATACAGGCTGTATACTATAAAAGTCATGCTGCACCAAATAGGAACACTTGACTCAAGACAAATGTTCTATTCAACTCTAAACAGTATTATTTAAATAATCAGTTATTTTTAAAGTAAATTTTTTCATACATTTAATGATTAAAATGTAGATCTCTGTCAAAATGATTGTTGTTGTTCACTATGGCGTTATTGTACAAAAAATAACTCTTTCTGACCAAGAGAAAAGATGCTACAACATTAAATCCCCCTTGCACTGACTTTCAGTGGGGGAGTTTGCCCGGACAAATCACTTTATGCATGATGGCTACTGAGACGGCAGGTCAGATCCTGGATCAGTAGGATCTGATTTGCAGGGAAGGCTGCTGCTTTCAAGCTGCAAGAAAGCAGCCTTGTAATGTGGACCAGTAGGTGTCAGTCTGACTTTGGAGACACTCTAGAGTTTTTTTCAATCATTATTATTATCTTTCTTTTGCAAAAAGACACACTTACATAAGGGACCCCCTTGTACACTGATGAGATCTCCTTTATTATCTATAACCTTTGAGATATTTTAGTTTACAGTAATCAGCTCACCTTCAGAAGGGAAAATAATGTGATCTTGATTATTATGAGGAATTTAGGTTTTCTTTTACTGTTGTTGATGTATCTGCTTTCTCATCGGCGTCGCCAGACCCCATTTACTGTGGCACGTGCCCCAGTATAAATGAGCTGTGCCCCAGTATAAATCTCATGAATATTTGCAACAGTATTACATTTTTTTTAATGCATCAACTTAGATAATTCCAACAGGAGGAGACGTATATTTCTACTCAAATGCGCAGCAAGTGTGTTGTTAACTCCAAATTGAGGATGTATTAGCGCCCCCACGTCAGCGCATGTCACTGCATGAACTGCCGGTAAACTAACGCGCTACTCTCAACTGAGTTGGATGGGACACTGTGCGGCCGCAACGCATTTTTAGTTCTGGTAACGTTTCTTACCTGTCAATTTTATTATTTTCCCAGTGAAACCACATGATTTATAGGCTACTAACTGAAAATTACTTCACTGGTTTGTAGATGGATAGCAGGAAACTCCTCACACGAAGCAGAGACAGGGAAGCAGTAAAACAAGATGAGAGAGAGGGAGGTAAGGTCCCGTGATGAATTAGTGATTTAAGCTAACTAGTTACATTAGGAACGTTATAAGCAATATGATAGATATTTACATAATTATAGATTTACGTTTTTAATGTTTGCTGTAGAGAATGAGAATGAAGGTGCTGGAGTAGGAAAGGGAGGAGGAGGAGAGACTGACAGGCAAGAGACAGGTGAAAGACAGGAGAGACAGGACCATGAAGGTGATGAGGGAGCAACAACCAGCTTCCACAAACAAGAAGGGGACATTAGTGATTTAGGGGGAAAGCATGATGGTCCTAAACAAGTGAAGTTGTCCCACTATCCCCAGGACAAATTTGGAGTAAAAAAACCGTTCATTTAATTCAAAATGGTTTGAGCTTTTCCTGGTTGAAAAGGAAAGCCTTGTCATCAAGGATATGCAGTGTGTTTTCAACTTGCTTGATAACATCATGTTCGCCACACTAACGCAGTTCATCCAGATCTCCCTCACAATCCCAGTCTACAGCTGGAGTTGTGAAAGGTCATTCAGTGTGTTGAGAAGGATCCACACTTGGCTGAGGTGCACAGTGGGACAAGACAGGCTCCATCATCCTGCTATTTTATCAGTTGAAAAGGAAGAACTTTCTAAGCTGAGTCACAGTCAAGTGATTGACCGCTTTGCAAAAATGAAAAATAGGAGGTACACTTAAATGCTCAAAAAATAAAAGAAAAACTTAGTTCAGGTTGAGGTAAACTTTCCCCTGAACTAAAACCCTGAAACCTAGGAATTAATGATTACTTAAGAATGTGTATAAGGAAACTTTTTATTTGTCAAAGTTGGTGATGTCTTATTTTTTATAGCTGCAATGTTGAAAATGTTCATGTTTGTTAAAACAAATATGCTCTTACACTTAGTAATATCTCAACTAGTAATTTTGGTAGGAATGTATCAGGGTGGGGCAGTGTGCTTGTCTGTATTAGTGTATGGAAGGAGGGGCATACGCAGTAGGGGGCCAGTGCCCCAGTAAAGCTTTGTGCCTAGCAACGCCCCTGGTTTTATTATTCTATTTAAATCAATTTTTAGAGTTATCATTGCGTGCTTATCTGCATCAGTATCAGTAAGGATAAGCACAGTCCAATATTTCCCTTTTACCACCTCTGGCTCCCCTAATGGCTTTCATTTGTACACCTGAATCAGAGGACTGCCCGCAGACTCTGGGCACAGTGATTCCACTCAATCTTAATCTTAATTACAGCAGGGCGGAGACATTGACATTTTTCTTGGAGTCGCAGGAATTACGAACTATTCTCGTTCAGTCTGCGCCTTGTGTAAACAGTATGATTGCAGGTTACAGTGCGTAAACGCAGAAAATGCCAGTGGAAGAGATCCAAATTTGGTGACTCTCGCTCTCTCCTCTCTTGTTCTTCCCTCTTTTTGCGCGTTTTTTCTTCTTTTTTTTTCTTTCCTGTAAGCACTTTTCCATGTAACATCTCTAGGCCATTTTTTATCAAGAGGAGGAGCGAGGGCGGTGGGACGGGTGTAAGGGGCGTGTTTTGGTATATAATAGTTCTCCCGGAGAAGTTTTGCCTGTCGCCTTGTCTTTGGGACAGCCTCTCACACATCATCTCTATTATAGCTTCACCAACTGGGAAATTAACTCACCTGCAACATCGCCTACCAAAATAACTTGCCGCGACTTTGACTACTCTACTGCCATCTGACATGGAAACCCAGCAAAGATCCAGACATCTTTCACTTTGCCACACCTGCCGGAGAACAGAGAGCTGCAGGATTAAGGTAACTGGAGAACAAACAGTTGCAGATTTGCAGTTTGAGCCGGGAGAGGTTTCAATAGAGCTATATGGATATATTTCCTTTCTCCTTTTTGCGCAAAGGAGGGGAGATAGATGCTTCCATCAGTTTTCTGCATTATGATCGAGAGGGATTTATCATTTTAGATGCAATAGAGAAAGTTTTGGATGCAAGAAAATCAATGACAAAATCTTGGTTTTTTTGAGTCCAAGGTGAAAGTTAAAGAAATGAAAACGTCATTTATTAATCTCCCCTGATCCGGATGGTGCGCCGTGCGCCGGACAAGGGCGCAGGAACAGCTGGTCGCCTTGCCGGCAGACAGGGGGCGGTAGGTCTGAGGGTCATTGAGCTCACTCCGGGGTGAGCAAGGGGAAATTATATGCTGAGTCTGTCTTTTCGGAGTAGTTAACTATCGAGCAGCCGGCCTTGCAACTTTCTGGGGTAGACGGGGGGAGTTGTGTAAGAGAGTGAAAGCTTAAAGATACTGGTGACATTTTCCTTTAGAATAAGCACTTCTCCCAGTTGCCAAACACATGACAGCAGCTGATAAAAATCGGGTAGCTTACTTGGTTTGTGTTTGAGTCTGCTTATTTGATTTCATCTGACTCACAGAGTAGACTTTTTTCCCCTCCCGAGTTACTAGGTCAGTGCGTAAAACAGCTTTTAAGACTTTAATCTCTTACATTACAAAACTAAACATCTGGCTATGATTTTATTCT